AAGAAAGAAAGAAAGAAAGAAAGAAAGAAAGAAAGAAAGAAAGAAAGAAAGAAAGAAAGAAAGAAAGAAAGAAAGAAAGAAAAGAAAGATAGATAGGAAGGCAGGCCTGGTTGAGTAGATGACATTCTTGTCCATAAGCTGCCCCCTTCTGCTATGGCAGAGTTTTCTGTCCATGATGGTCTGACCTCACCCTTGCTACTTCTCCAGTTCCAGAACCTTCCTTGCTGATGGGATGGTGTAGGTGCTAGGGAGTGGGAGGAACCTGCCTGGAATAAGCAGAATTGCCAACTCTTGAGGCAAGACCTAGTTCACAAATGCTTATTTGACCATTGATCCAGCCACCTACAGGTGGGTGACTCTGGTCCTATTAGCTTTCTAGGAAAAATAGGGCAAAAATAGGGCATCTAATAAAATTTGAATGCATTCCAAATAAACAACATCCTTAAATATGAGAATAGACATAAGTTTCTTAAGATAAGGTAATTTTGTTTGCCACTGACATTACTTTTGGTTATCAAGTACTACAGGACAAAAACAAAAACTCCTGTCACCTCAATGATGGTTTATTACTTTGTTTATGATGTTCTAGACAGTCCAATAAGACATGAACCATAAATAAGCTCCATCAATTTGAAGAGAAGTGTCATCCTTAATAGAGTTCAATTGCTTTTTCCTCTCAGAATCTAACCATTGACATGGGCCTACTTGTGCCACCACCTCCTACTATATCCATGTCACATTAGGGGGACATTTTTATTCTCATCAGACAGACAAAGACAGTGATTCTCCTTGCTATTAAGCAGGGGTGCTCAGATGCGAACATAAGTTTGTTTGTGGTGAGAAAGCTGGTGTTATTGCACCACCTTGCCAAAACACAAAAAGATGAAGCCAGAGGCTGCCAATACGTCTTCTTCCCCAGAGCCCTTGAGCCATGGTGTGTCCTGCCCGCCTCCAGGATCGAGGTCTCACAATCGCTCACCAGTGTCTCGGAAGTCTGGTTGCCGGAGGAAGGCGTATGGCTGACAGCTGCCTCCTCCACCCCTTGGGCCATTCCAACTGGGAAGAGGCCCCAGAGCCTCATCTGCTCTGCATAAAAAATGCTGAGGAACTCTGCATTTCAGTAGGAGTCTTAGCCCTTCCAGGGAATATTTAAATTGCAAAATAATTTTTTTTACCCAGTTGAATCTACAATTAGCTGGATTGTGTGAATGACATTTTCACTCTGGGAGGGGCAGCCTTTCTAGTTTCCTGTGCCTCCTCCAAGCTTCTGTCTCCTGTTACATCACTCTCAGTGAAAAGAAAGCCCGGACACTGGCCCCCACCTATGACGTGGGCTGACCAGCCTAGAAGTTGCTTGTTCCTGCGGGGAATGGGGG